TATACAGTATAACAATATACATTTTCTGGTAAAGTCTTGCGACTAGTTACTACACGCTGCGATATCAATTCATACATGTTTGAAACAATTTCGCCCATGAATCTTTATCATTAGCAATTTCTTTAAGATACATAAGATCTTCATAACTATTCAGACAAAGATGTCGTTTTCTTACATCTACCTGCAATTGATTCATTAAGTTACTTTGCGGTCTACCAACACGATCCTGTATATATATATATGTATGTAAATATATACATATATATATATAAAGGTAAATACAGTGTTATATATATATTATATATTTATATATACATTATATATATATAGGCCTATCCTATATAGGCCTATATATGTATATATATATATATATATATTATGGGCCTATATATAAAGGTAAATAAAATGTTATATAATTTAACAGTGTTTTATATATATAAACTGTGTTTTTCAGTATTTTGCCTTTTTATCTAAATAAATATTACTATTATATTAAAGATTTATAAAAATGTTTTGTGTCTTGCTAAGACAAAACAATGTCCATGAATTAGTTAAATTATAACGAATAAAGAGTATTAATTAGTTATTGATGTCTATATCTATATCTGACTGATTAATTTTATAAACCACTGTCACCCTTAACATCGATTACCAACGTTAACGATCAATCATATACACCAGCAACCGTACTTTATTCGCAGTATCAGCAGGGAAGGTTCAAGAGGCATTGAGATACTTGCTACCTGCCGCTATTTTCCCTTCAACCGGGGATGTTTGTTTCACTCGGCTATCTTCCCCCCGGTAGTTTATCCAATGTATTTTTCTTCCTGGATCTTTCCCCACGACTTTTTTTTTCATCAGTTGATGTTCACTATATTAAAGGCAGAACATATTATTTTCTTTTATTTTTGGCTTTGTTTTTTTGCTTCTCTTATTAATTATTGTTTTGCCGTTCTCAGGATACACCATCAAGATGTGCCGATGATACAAAACGTTATCCAATCCATTGACTGATTACGGTAATTCTTGATGCATTTGCAATAAAGGTTATTAAGTCTATATAAAGACACATTGTAGAAACTATTATTTTAGAGAGTTTACATCCGGGTTCACATAAGAGATAGAGGAAAGAAAACAGGAAATCTCTTTTTTGAACATACTTGTTGTTTTGCATAAGTATATCACAGCTACTATTTCGAGTTGTGCCATACACATTCTTCATCAGCTAACACTCCGGCAATATTATTTCCGGAAAGGAGCGACTGAAGGACGGACGCAGTTGTTTTATTATTTGATCACGTCTGCTCTGCTATCGGCTTAGAACTTTTGCGCTCAGTAGGCCTACCTATCGGTGATTCTCTTCTTTCATTATTATGCCTATACGTTCATTTCAAATTCTCTATTACGTTTTTGATAGCATTACTTATTTCATTAAATACATTTTATTTAGATCATGTTATTTGACTTATTCATAGTAGGCCTATTTAACATTATGTTAACTACTTACCGTTAACGGGTTGTAATTTCTTTAATGTTTATTTTTTTAAGTCGTGTCATTGTTTTGGTCAGGTACCGTATACATTTGTTATACACTAAATGTAATTTATTTTAGCATTCTCTTTATTTTGTGACAAAGACAACTATGGTGAACAGAATAGGCCTATTGATATGTAGGTTGACTTATGTTTAGTTTGCAGTACACAATTAAATATTGTAGTTGTTTGGCCCTTTAAAGAAATTAATTAAGAACCAGAGACCTACGCCAGGTATTTAGTATTACTATTGTTATACTTCGCCATGCAAACCTTCAAATAATAATAATAATAATTAGTAGACTATTGAAGAAGGAATGCTTCGCCGAAATAAGGTGGCATGACTGGACTCAATTTCACATTCAATCGCTTAAGAGAAATGAGAGAAGTAGTGCGTGTAGCTATCTATTCGATTAAGCAGCACTATTATTATTATTATCACATTGTGATGATTGATTACGAGTGTTTGGTGTATTAATATAAAACAATATAATACAATACTCATCAAAATTGTGTATTTTACGACTTTATTTGAGTTAACACAAATTGAGAATAATATACTAGCCACCCAAAGGTTTAGAAATAGAAAGAAAGTTGTTTTGTATTTGCCATATTTGTTGTAGAAATGCTTTAGAAACGACATCGTTGTTACTTGTTACTTACTTGTTAGCCGTCCTCTGTCTTGAGTACATCAGGCCGTCATTGACTGATATCAGTTGACATATACACTGCTTTTTACAGAGAGATACCAGCAAATGTTGTGCTATAATGCTCTGTATCTTTTGTATTGTCAGCATAATGTACATTTATTTATTTTATTATTATTAATATTATTATTATTATTATTATTATTATTATTATTATTATTATTATTATTATTATTATTATTATTAAATTAACCTGTAACCCAAGGCGGGACCCTTGCAAGTACTCTACTCCATTTTTACTATTATTATTATTATTATTATTATTATTATTATTATTATTATTATTATTATTATTATTATTATTATTATTAATTAACCTGTAATAATAATAATAATAATATTATTATTATTATTATTATTATTGTTATTATTATTATTATTATTGTTATTATTATTAT